CACTATAAAAAAAGTTATTGATTAGCTTGATGAAAAATGTTGTCAGGAAAAATAAAACGAAGTAAGAAGAACAGATTTGCAGTCCGAGTGAAACATCAAATTACTGTTTTCCAGTTTTCTTTTCCTGCGCTTTTTGAATTTTCTCAAACAGACGATCAGCAATCTTTTCCTTTTTGGCATTCTCGATATCTGCAAAAGCACAGCTCAATCTTAAGTGTCTTCAGATGCGCCACTCTTTCTCAAATACCAAAACAGCAGGCACAGCTGCACTAAGATGAAAAGTTTTATTGAACTAACCACTTCCATCTCGATTCAAAACTGCCACACTTCCTGCTGTGCGATGAGTCAATCCGCTGAGCGAAGACATCTCGCTCAGTCTGCTTCTATAAAAAGTTTGATATGAAATTTGCGATACCTGTGGTTTAAAAAAGCACAAGACCTCTTTACACCGAACTGCCTTACTAGCTAAGCATTAAGCAGGAACATTCAGTCGACTGGTGTGAGGATCCGATAATATGAAATTACTGGGATAAAACAAAGCATAAGGCACACTGTGCTAGGCTCTCCGTCAATTAGGAACGAAAGAAAGAAATCTATCGAGGGAACAGAAGAATAGAAGGATTTTACTTGAATGTCATGTGTTTGAAGACATTTTATGACGTAGTCTGTGTTTCATCCCTTAGCTGTATGCACAGGCCGAAGAGTGCATGCGGGTAGGAGTGGGAATCAGTACAGCCTCTTACCCGCCATGTTTTGAATAGTCATATGTCTAATTTGCAAGACAGATGACAGGAAGAAATAGGGAGTGAAAGAGCAAACACATTTCGTTTTTGTCAGTATTCAAACAGAACAAAAAATAAAATTCATGGTAAGGGTATGGAAATGAGCGTATTAGTTGTTATTCTGTGTGACGAGCAGAAGCCCAGTAAAGAACTAGCCAGACTACAACATTTTCCCTCCAGGATTGGGTTTGTTATATCTGCTTTAAAGTGAGCAGATTAAAATCGACG